GCCATGGGTCAGGCGGCCTGCCTGTCCTCGTTCGCCATGGGTCAGGCGGCCTGCCTGTCCTCATTCGCCATGGGTCAGGCGGCCTGCCTGTCCTCATTCGCCATGGGTCAGGCGGCCTGCCTGTCCTCATTCGCCATGGGTCAGGCGGCCTGTCTGTGCTCGTTCGGCATGAGTCAGGTAGCCTGTCTGTCCTCATTCCCCACCTCAGGCTGCATCAATCTCATTCCTCTGTCCTTCCACCTGTTCTCCCCCCAGCCCAGATTGCTCCCCCATATTAAGGTGTTCCAGGGGAAGATTAATATTCAGAACAACTGTGATTTCAATGTCATTCCCTAAGCCACGAGACAAACTTTCCACCTCTGTCTCTCTGTATTGGTCGCTTCCGGTCCCTCCCCGGGGGAATAACCTCGTCAGCACACGTGTTGCGGCTGCCCCACCCACTCCGGTGAGGTAATACAGCCTTCACTGTCACTGGCAGATTAATCACACAGGTTTCACTGTGATTAAAAGCATTACCAGATTATTCTCCAAAGAACACTGTCATCCCAAACATCAAACAACAAGCTAGCATCCAAACATTTTTGATAGATGCTCATGTGTGCATAAATTATATCTGCTCAATGATACTTGGAGAAAAAATCACATATTATTAAGAACAGCGTAGAACAACTGGATATCCACCTGATTCCTGCCTCAATAGCCTGAAATGTTGAGCCACCAGTAACAGCATCATCAAAGAACCTCCATATATCTAGGGTTTGCCCTCAACCATTGACAAAAGTGGGTAGTTCAGGTCCAGAGAGTAGAAGTCTAGGCCAAGGTTTTGTTTCAACCAACCAGTTGAGTCATCTGTGACTGTGACTCTTTATACTCAATTGGTTGGTTGAAACAAAATCTTGGTCTGGACTTTTATTCTCTGGAGCTGAATCATCCACCTCCTGGCTATTGATTCATCACTCATACCAAGGGTACCTGAGACCCCACAGCTAGTTGTGAACTGATAATTATGTAATATTCTATCTGAAGCATAAAGAGATCCGGCCCAAGGTCACCGCTGCCACCATTCCAGGTGACAGAAAAGCAGTAAAGAGCGGAACTTAAATATTCTGTCCTTACTGGGATGATGTTATGCTTCTGTTCCACTTGACGGTTCACTGCTGCAGTTACAGGTGTCCGATTTGCTATGGTCCAGTGAGAGCAACACCATCCAGCATTGGGTCGTCTGGCTCCCAAAAGTGTGTCACCCCAGATGTAAGATCAATAATCGCATCGATCGGCATCATGTCAGCAAACTGGGACACAAAGCATGTCCCTTTGCCAGCATTGCCCTTCCTCGGTAACTGCCAGCACTCATCTCCCTCTTTCACACCAGCATCCTCTTAGTTTTCATACTTAAACATCTAAGACCACTTTATTTCCTATATCCCTGCAAAAATATAATTAAAAAGCACATATACACACAGTAGGCCCACTGTCTTTACTATTAGACTGAAGCACTTCAGAGTCAAATACTATTTCATATACAGCAAGAGCTTATAACTACGTTCATACAGATTGCAGTAATATGATGGAACAGATTCAACAGGTCAATATGTGCTGCTTAGAGTTAAATTCCTAATGCTCATAAATCTTTTTCTTTTGATTACTATACATAAATTACACAAATAAAATCAGTGATGGTCAAAGCACAGCCATGTCCATTTTTCTCAAGTTTCAGTTCAAAAATGCTGTGAATCTGATCCACCATCGTTGTTCCGCAGAACAATGCAGCGCAGTTAACCGTGCGTCACGCTGGATGTCATCGCGGAGCCAAACTGCTCCCTAGGCGCACGTGTACCCAGAAGGCCGACGACGTGTGCTGCTTTGAGGCGATGCAGACATTCCTGTGCGTATAAATAACCGGTCCAGCTGATATTAATGGCATTACGCTCTTATCGATCTTCACGGTGGTGCCTCGCCAACAATGTGAATGGCAGTACAGTACATTACTGGAGCAAGTCCAGTGACAACCGGGAGCTCAAAAACGTGTAATACGCAGCTAACTTAACCGCAAAGTAATTAACGCTGGCTGTCGGTTTGTTTACATGCAAAGCAGAGGCATCATCCCACCGAGTGGACACCGAGTCCTACCGACTGCCTAGGGGGACTTGTGGGTACAGCCTCCGGTCCTCAATTCCATCCTACGAATAACGCTCGATGCTACGTCTTTGGCGGTTGTTTTTGGCAAACCTGTGACATATTTTCCCCTGTATGACTGACGACTTGCGGAGCGGACTATTTCCTGGCGTCCCCGGACCGCTTCGTCTACTTCCAGCTTCCTGACCCTTGATGGTCTAGGCACACGGTTGTCTTAGAGATCTTGGGACCTCTGTTCCCTTAGGAGAGCTAAATATCGGCATTCTTTGAAAACAGCTCAAAAATATACAACCGCAGATATTTTCGAAATGCATTCCAGATTAGACCATAGAATTAGTCATTTTTATACTACTAAATACGACTATTTTAGGGCAGAATACTACACTCTTTGGTGTCATGTGCACTGTGTTCTTTTACTTTCTACACACATCAAGCCTTAAAGCTTGAGAAAAATGACTCAGTGACATTACGGAAAGCATCACAAATCAATAATGTGAGATGGCACCTGGCCTCTCTGTGTTTGCCTTGTTGGGGCTTTTCCAGATCATGCAGGTCTTGCGTACAATGTACTGTACTATACTCAGCAAATCTCTCACACTCAATCAGCACAGCTTACATTCGGATAGTAACCATCCACATATGTCGAGTCACCTTGTCTTTCTCACTTTCTTTTGTGAAACACATGTGTTTCACAAAATGAAAACAACAGCAACGAGCAGGGCAATTGGAAGTGATCAAATATTAAATATACAACACAGTAACAATAAATAGTGTGCAACTTTTGCAACAGGTAAATGCAATAAAAACACTGGATACTAAATTCAGTAATAGGCAGTGAGCGCGTTTATTGACTAGAGCTCAATGGTCTGATGGAAGAAAGTGTCCCGGCCAATCAGAATGCTGAGGTCTGGCCAATAGCGAAAAGAGCAGAATCGAACGGAGAAAACCGAATGTTTCGCTGTCTGAATAAGACAACAAAGATCAAAATGTTCTCTATATTCTGAGTTCAGTGCAGTACCCAAGAACTGTAATCAGTGTATCTGAAGATTAAAGTAAGTTTTCTGAACCTTTGCATTGTTCAACTGAAGTAACTATTTTGATTTTGCACTTGCATCTTTTTGGCTGTACAGCACACGAGATGACCCATATTTACAATTAGCCTATATTTACAATATATAGGCTATTTCATTTGAATGTTTATACTATACTATTCTGACATTACTACAAAAAAAAACCAAACTATTTAACCAGGGACACTGGCGGGTTGTTGCCGCTGTGAACACGAAGCCTGTAGTGGGAAGGTTTTGCTCCTGACCGAATATCGCTCACCTACAACCGAGTCACGTACACGTTAGCAACGGAATTTCAGAAACTTGACTGAGTGATACAGAATATTAATTCCCATCACCATATTGTCCATATGTAATATACACCAACTCAGTGCAATTTAAAATAAACCCAGTTACTTCCTCAATCATAAACATTATTTAAATACACACATAACCCCTCCCAAAACTAGTCGCGATACAGGATTTATTATTAACAGATTCTAACAAAAAAAGCTGAGTAAAATTCAAACTTTAAATTAAAAATAAAATGTGCTTTGTCGAAATATGTTTAATGGCCAACCGTGCCAAATCAGCGATTAGCGAGAAAAAGTTTGGTCTATTTAGATTTTTAAGGATTTGACGATATACTGTAGCCTACACATCGATATTTGCTATAGCCTACAGTTATAGGCTATACGTAGGCCTACATAAAATACATTTTAATAATAAAAATATACATTTTTCGATAATTTAGAAAATCTCAGGAAAATAACTGCAAAATTACGCCTATTATGCATATTTTTTATTTTAACCAAACCTTCCGGTAAAAATCAATCCTTACCCGTTTTCTCTGCGTTCAAAATCGGTTGAAACAATAAACTAAATAACAGAACAAAAGCAGAGGCGACGCAGTTCACACAAGTGTTCTGTAAACTATTCCGCCAGCCGTCCAAGGATATTAATTTTTCAGTCTTTCATGTTCGTCCCTCACTTCACTCCCTCCCTCTCTAACATCTGACCTTAACATCCTCTTGAGCTTTATCCAGCGGTCATGGCGGCGACGTTTAACTTACTGTAAATATCACCTTAACAAATATTTGAAAAAGCCGCTCAGTGGCACTGGGATCTTCGCCTTCGCGTTCATCATTATGCCAAACATATAAAAAGAATCAATCCATGAAAACTGCAAAACGCCGATATTATCTTTTCCATCCATCTGCCCAACCGAATGTTTTGGACAGGGTAGGGATAAGAGTATAGGCCTATTTTATCATATTATATGTAAATGAAATAGAGAAGAAATAGAGAATATGGGCAACGGTTCACGATTATAAGTTAAAATACAGACTGTCCATTAACCATTAATCAACGGAAATTTCCCTGAGGATACGGGATGCGACATAGTTACATGCAGAGGAGACGCAGAATGATAAAGATAATTTAATCTGCTAATAATTTAATCATTTTATTCCATTCTTCCGAGTATATTCTGGGTGTGATAGAAAACGTCACATAAATGATAGGTAGGAAATATCAACAAAACACATGAAATATAAATATCCACGCATCCCCCGCTTTACGAACGTTCGCTTCACGGCTGTATATGCAAGGCCTTTATTAACACCTGTTTTCGCTAACTGAAAGAAGTCCGAAAAGGATTTTCACTTTCACCAAAAAAATGACAAAATAAAGTTAAGCATTTGTTTATTAGCGAGCTCATTACAGATGTATAGTCATGCATAACGACATTTCGGTCAATAAACGTGTGGTAGGCTGTAGCTAGGGTTGCCAACCGTCCCGAATTGTCCGGGACATCCCGAAATATGGGTGATTTTGATGCACTGAAGGGACGAATCAAAATCACCCATATTTCTGGATGTCCCGGACAATTCGGGACGGTTGGCAACCTTAGCTGTAGCACAGCGGCGACATCGCTTAAATTCCGCATTTTTCAGAACGTGTCCCTTTTGTAGTGAAACCAGACTCTACAAACATTATTGGTCATATATTACTTTATATATGTGTATCATATCATTCCGGCTTTTACTATATGTTAGTGTTATTTTAGTTTTCTGTGTTATTTGGTATGATTTGGTAGGTTATTTTTCGGTCTGGGAACGCTCAAAAATGTTTACCATGTGAATTACTGGGGATTGCTTCTTCAGTCTACGTAAGGTTTCGTAGGATCGCTCTACATTTGTAAAACTGGGAGGGATACCTGTGTGTGTGTGTGTGTGTGTGTGTGTGTGTGTGTGTGGTATATATAAGTTAGTTATGTATGTATGCATGTATATATGTGTATATGTAGTATAATAAACCAGTCCAAGGACACAGAAATGTATCTGGTTGGATCCAGAGGATATAGATCTACATGCTAAGTTTTCCTCATCCATACATCTTACATTTATATGTGATTCACTTAGCAGACGCTTTTATCCAAGGTAGGGTACAATTCAGAAATTAGGGTCAGCTGGTCCCTGAACCGACTGGGTTTTTGAGCTTTGCTCAAGGGCCCAACAGTAAAATCACACTGCTCACCACAGGATTTCAACCATCAACCGTTCAATTAAAAGCACAGCATCCCAAACTGGTGAGCTACACTACACAAGTGCTCAGCCACCAAAGGGTTATGGTGAGCATGGCGCATATTCCAGGAAGGCACAAGGTGGGAAGGCCTCAAACGAGGCTATCCAGTTGCTATCCAGCACATTACACATACTGACTTTCACTCACTACAGGAGTAGGTAATTCACCTAACTGCATGTTTTTGAACTTCAGGAGGACGCCAGAGAACCCGTAGGAAAGATGGCAATAGCATGCAAACGGCCATAATACTGAGAGGGGCCCGGAGCCTAACCCCAGGCTGTAGATGTGTGAAGCCACAGTCCTACCTGCTCAGGCATCCTGGCATCCAAGTCAAATCCAAGTTAAATCCGTCCTGTTTTAAAGCACACATCCACCAGATGGCAGTATTGGGTTAGACCTAAAATGAACCAGCAGTCTTCAACTACGATAATGTAACAAAATACTCAGGGTTGGGTAGTGATCGATTATATTGCAATCAGAATTACGTAGCTTGATTTCAGAAGATTGGTAAGCGTGATATATAGTTGCACAGTCTCAGTTAATCCCAGTTATATGTAATCCATTACTACCCAACCTTGAAAATACTACATAAGCATGTATTTGTAAGGATGTAGCTTGTTACTGCAAATAGTCAATTTCTCCACAAAGTCTTCTCAAAATGTTTTTTTTATTTCAAAGATTCATTATTGCAACGTAAGCTGTCAGCAAAAATGAAGACAAAAACATCGTCACCTCAACTGTAAGATGAGGGAAGGAGCAAGTTCAGTGGGCACCACAGATGCAGTGCATTTGTTGAGTAAGTATGAGGAATGAGCATGAGGTCTGTTTCTTTGAGGAAAGGTGACACCGACATGATGGTGAACAGGTGTGGCACCCCGGCAGTGAAGGAGACGACACTGTGAGCCAGCTTGGTAACTCCTGCTTGCTGGAAACTTAATGCCATCATCCTTCAGCCCTCACTGCCAAAAATAAATCATCACAGGAAAGATATACTGCTCTGAAGTCTCCACCTTCTTAGTGCGATTACAGCTGGTAATTCAGAGAGTCACATCCATGGATGTCACCATTGCTGCCCCCTTCAGTCAGTGTTTGGAGGGACATCATCAGTGGTGGCAGCTTTTTTTTTTACTACAACAAGTGGCAAAGAAAAAAAAAGTGTTAATATATGCTTGCTTTAGTACTAAGAAGGAAGTACAGTCCACTGATGTTAACCTGTAGACAGCCGTTCTCCAGTGTTTCCCGAGTTAATGTCTGGAGCATACAGTCAGACACAGGGGTTCCCCATAGTATCCTGGACATCTGTGCTTCATTAAGCCAAAGTCAGAGGAGTACAACTCCTCCTTGTGGTAGATCCGTCCAAGGTGACTCATTTATTAAAAGGATCTAAAGCATAGCTAAAGCTAAGACTTTTGTTCCTAAATTTCTGAATATCATTACTGTATTTTATTTATGTGTATAATTCATTATGTTAATTGTCTTGCTTGTTTTGTAAATTGTCTTATGTTCTTTGTCTTTATAGGGCAAATTCCTCATATTTAAAAGTAGGGCCTGGTGATAAATAAACAATTCTGATTCTGGTGAAATGTATCATCTGGGAACAAATGATTAATTTTGACTGTAATAAACTAGCAAACACTTAGATCCGAGCTGCCAATCATCAAACAATCCATGACAATGGATTCGTACTTGCATTGACAGTAGAATTAATAGTGAAGGCATTTGTAGGGACAGAGCCTAGCTAAATATGAGTGTTTTCACCTTCAAGTGACACTGCCTGTGAAGAATAATGTGATGGACAGAAACAAGAAAACAGAAACACAAAAACTGGGCAGCCAGCGGAGATACAGCTCAAAGAGTTCATACAATAAGCACCCATCTACTGGATCAGCTGTCACTCTTGCTAAGTCCATTTATGGTCCAATTTCTGACACATTGCTCCAACCACCCCAGCCTGCCTGACAAATTATGCATCTGTATAAGCCAACACACGCACACACACACACACACATTTGAAATAGTCTTTGTGGGGACTCTATATTCATTTCTACAGGGAAAACTGTAATTCCAACATGATGACCTTAACCCTTACTCAGCCCTAAACTTAACCATAAGTAACCAAACAAAATATGATACTTTTGGCACTTCTAGTTTTTTGATTGGATTTACAGATCTTGACGGGAACTGAAAAATCCGCACGTCAAAATAACAGGTTTTTATCACATTGTGGAGAACATTTGGTAATGTAAACATAATACACACACACACACACACACACACACACATATATATATATATATATACACTGCAGCAAGCAGGCTCTGAGTGAAAAGTTAGATAATACCTTAAACGGCACAGTGCACTCTACTCAGTGCACTGTGCTAACAGCTGTATTTTTACAAGGTGCTTGGTTAGACTACTCAGTACACCCTTCTATCACTGTCCTATAAATGCATTTGCTGTTCTAGACGGCTATTTCACATTTACATATATGTTTATTGGGAGCATCAGGAAACCGGCGTAAATCTCACACATAAAATTTCTTATTGGATCTCCCAGACAAAAGAATAAAGTTACAATCATGGAGTGAGCTAGGCACTCCGCCGGTAAATAAATGAAAGTGACAGGAACATAAACACCCCCTAGATGAAATCAATAACTCATTGTGAGCCCACCTAATCAGGGGAAAAAAACAGACATTTGTAACACGAAAAATGTCCGCCCATTTAATTAAATCTGCTGAGCGCTCTGAAACAACAGGTGGCTAATTCGTCAGTCGGCATTCAGAGACACTTCATTAACATAATGAAGGAAGAACACGGGAAGAAAGGACGGTCAAAGAACAATTGCTTGCTCGCTTTTGTTTATTTTTATTTGTTATTTGTTTATTGTTTATTGTATCATTTTACAAGGTTCAAGTGTAGGTTCACTAAGTTGAGCGGTGCTGTTGGTATAAATGTTATAAATATTTCGTATAGGCCTACCAGAGTTATGTCGCATTTTTTACTGCAGATCGTTTGAGGAAAAAGTTATTAGAGCGATAGTCATGTTAATATCAACAGCTACCGTATGATGGCGGTGATGATGATTTAATTGTTGATGGAGATGCCATTTCGTAAGTGGACCGAAATGTTACTATAGATCGGAAGTACATGTGACGACTGGATCCAGTTGGATATAATGAAGAATCGAATATCAGCGGCATCTTCGTTAAAATAACATTTCTGTGTAGCCTATAATGTAGGCCTAACCTCATACGTTGTATCTTTATGCCCTTGCTCAACCAGTGCACCCCGCCCCCAAACCCCAATTCTCTCTCCTGCTTTCCTATTTTGGCATGACCGTGCCAGGTATTTGTTCAAATTCCTCGCGCCCTGCGGGGATAGGTATGTCCCCCCTCTTTTTTCCGTATTTTAATGGTTCACTCTGTCTGCGCTACTCAACACATGGGACCCCAGGACCGGCCATTTTTTGCAGCATCACCAAGCCGCTTTATAATACCCACCAAATCATTGCATTATCATAACACATAAAACCAGAGTATCGTAAGTTTTTACAATACTCTGAGCAATAGATGCAAAATATTGTTTTATCGGTGACATGCCTGATTCGTAGCTCGTTGGGTATGTCGTTACTGCAAAAACATTGGCGGCTGCAGGCGTATTATCGTTGGGCGAAGTGGAGACGCTTACTTATTGCTGCGGTTCACGGAGCGACAGAAAATGTATTACGGCCTCCGGCTGATGTGTCAGGAAGCGGGACACATGTGCTTTTGCGCTGGACGGGATCCCTCTGTGAGTCATCCGAACTTCCCTGAAAGGAGAACGTGCGCCTCCCAGTTTGGATCCCGATCCTTCGTTGGAGCGACGAAATACGTCACCGCCAAATGCACAGGGACGTGTATCGCCGTGTTTAATTTGGTAATAATTAAATTCTTTTCGACACTGTACAAGAGATAAAAATAAAAAATATGGTTAGTGTAATAGTTGCTTTAACATTTAGCCTATATTTAACAAATATAAAATAACTCAAGGTTTAAAAGTCTGATAGTCCAGAAATCTGATGTTGTAAAGGCTACAGTTCGTATTTTTTGTTCACTTTAATTTGTTTTTTTTATTAAATCTGGATATATGCTTTGCATTCATTTAGGTCTATCTATAAATTGTAAACGCGAATGCTCTTCTATTGACTAGCATTGTCTTAATTGTATGTGTTAAAATTTGGATTTCAAACGCAAAATTATATTACTATCAGCCGCAGAGGTAGTGTGAGGTTGCTGTAAAATTAAATTTATTTAGTACATAAACAACAGGATTGGATACATTTTAACCAAAAATTCAGTTTTGATCTTGCATTGAATTTTAATTGCCGCAGTTAATTTGACAAAAAATGTAAGAATAAAAAAATTGAATAAATTTATTTGTGGTAAACCGCTTGGCACTATGGCTTTTAATATTCATTTGTGGATGGATTTAATAATTGTTGTTATTATATTAAGTATTGAATAAAATGTTTTACCTCACTTGTACGTCGCTTTGGCTAAATAAGGAAAAATTCTGTTAAAATTTACGTCATAGTTGAATGCAAAAGAGTTTTCCCTAGAGCTTCTATAAAGTATGTATAGGCTAATAGTTGTATAAATAAATCCACAAGATTAAACCCGTATGATAAATAGGAAACCAAGCTACATAACAAAAGTAGTAGCCTACTTATTACAGATGCATTCAAATTATATTAATATTAATTATATTTATATCGTTTAATTTAATCCAAATGTATTCACTTATACTGAATATTAACCGCATGGGGAGTTCTGTTCACGCGTAACTTAAAACCTGCTCCAGAAAGCAGTAGATAACTGGCGACTTTATTGAGGGACGAAAAATCAACCAAGTCGTTCTCTGCCAGATTAAATCAATATAGTTACAGCGAAATTTATAGTATGAGAAAAGGTTAATAAAGCTTTTCTCCGTGCATCTCTCTCCCTCACTCGCTTTTTCTCCCTTTTTCCCTCTCACACGCATGCAACAAATGAGGGGGCGGTAAGTAAGCTACACAAGAGGAGTCCGCACAGGGGCAGGGAGCTAGACACCGTCGCTTGACTTGCTGTGGAAATGTAATGATTACTAGAAACATTTATTCAAACATACGTCTGATTTTTTTCACAACGCCAACTTGAAAATTATCAAATTAACAACAAAATTATTCTTTCACATTCCACTTTTGCCTGGACGATGGAAGCACGAGTACCTACAGACAAGACAAGACAGCAATGCGACGCAGAATTATATGGATTATAATGCTACATATTCATCTTCTCCAGGCTGCATTTAAAGGTAATTTTAATAAATATCGTAGTCATATTTCGTGTAATTGTTTAATTATATATGAAGACATTATTCGTCCTATTAATCTTGCACAAGCCGGTTTTTAGCATTATGTATAGGGTATATATAGGCCCTACTGTATGTATAATGCTACAGAATTGAGATTATTACACAAGTGTTTAGTTGTATTATCAATATGAAAATCGTCGTTTAAACAGCTTGTTAATAAAGGCAACCAAAGTTGTTTCCGTGCGGTTTTGGCGTCCAGGTAGCTCCGATGATTCCTGATTTGACATAATCAAGTACCTTGAAATCAATCGCAAATTTAGGCCTTCCAATAACCGCTTTTTTGTTTTGTTGAACGCGTTTTTCTAATATTTGGTTTTAATATCGTATTTGAATACGAAGTAACCATTCGGTTTAAAATATATCGCTTTACAAAATTTTCATTCCCTTTTTTGTTTTAAATTAAATGCATATGTAAAGGAAAAGATTTATGTCTGATGAATTCAGTTAAGTGTTACTTTAGTGATTTTGGGCTCTAAGGTAGGGCGATTTACTGCTCCTCCTGCTCAAACGGTAGCGCTTAACCCCAGTGCTCAGGGGGTCACCTTGTCTCTGTTTCTTCTCTATAGTCCCTCTGAGTAGTCTTTGATATTGAATAATTTTACATTACAGCCTTGAAATTACAGAAAAGATGGAGCTGAAAACAGACATACAAATAAGACAAGGAGTTTGAAGGAGTCTGACATCTATTATGATTATACAAAGTGGGTGAGATGTTGTTTGTTTCCGAGTTAGATATAGGAACTGCAATTATTTCTTAACAAGTCATTTATATCTTTACAAGTCAATGATACTTAATATATATATATAATGCCGGCAGGTGATCGCACCCTTAGAGTCAATGGGGAGGGGTCAAAATACCATTTCGATTATTTTTTTCCAGTAAGCATCTCCGAAAACCAGACCCTAGGAATTCTGCAAGCTGGTGCAGAAAATGTTCTTTAACTTTGGTAATGGAGTGAGAGCGTGATGCTTGGCCCAGGCATGGTCTTCGACTCAGACGCGGCGGGGTGTAAATCAGAAGCCAAAGGCAGGAGTGCCGAGACGCGCCACAGGCAGACATGCCTGCCCGTACGTCTGCGCCAGGCCAGTCTGGCTAGCCAGTGGCCCGTAACGCTGCGTGCTGAAGTGTTGGTGCCCGACGCCAGGGTGGTCTCTCACTCACTGTATCAAAGCGGGAACCCGAACAAGCGAACCCATGTCTGGGAAATAAACAAGACAGGAGAGACAAGCCATTGTGTGTCATTATGTGGCAGCCTCTCCTAAACTCTATTATAGCACATGGTGTTGGGATTAACTTTTTCTGCGTTCAAATCAAATTTTAGACATGAATTTCATATTTCAGTGAGCTAAGACAAAGGTTTTTGATGGATTTTGCTAATAACTGTATTCTTCTGTTGCCACCCCACCCTGCATTTCCTTCTCATTTCTGTATCTCTGTCTCTGTTCCTCTAGCTTACATGACACTCTGTTGGCTGTGATTGGCCCATAGCTAACTTTCACCAATCAATCTGACCTTCATCTTGGTTCTTCTACTTTCATGTAGGTGTTCCCAACCTAACATTAACATTAGTTACTACCAATTTCCACATCATTCAGGCCAGAAAAATGGACTCCCCTAACTCGGTCTCTAACTCCCCTTCCCCCGGGCCCTCCCACACGCTCCCTCTGCTTCCCAATGCGTCTCTGCCATCTTCCTCACCATCTCTCTCCCCATCCCCAAGCCTCGTCTCCACAGCCCTCTTCTGCTCCCTGCTCTCCCTCATGGCCCTCCTGGGTATTTGCGGAAACCTGTACACCTTGGGGCTCCTTCTGCAACGCAGAAGAGGGAGGCGACGTCATGGCAGGTCCTGCTACTGTGTAGGGGGGCTCTGTCCCGCTATCTTACCACGTTGCTCTCCGGTCTCCTCTCTACCTTCCCCCTCCATGTCATCTTCCTCCTCCTCCTCCTCTTCGTCTCTTTACCGCCAGGTCTTGAGCCTAGCTTTGGCAGACCTCCTCTACCTTTCCACCACCCCCTTCATCGTATACGACAGCCTAGCCGCTGACTGGGCTTTTGGGGAGCTGGGCTGCCGGCTTCTGCTCAGCCTGGATCTTCTCACCATGCACGCCAGCATTTTCACCCTCACCGCCATGAGCCTGGACCGCTACAGGGCCGTGGCAGATCCCCTGGCCACCTCCTCCTCGCCATCTTCAGGTCTGTTGAGGGTCGTGCTCGCTTGGGGGTTGGCCGTGGCGTTGAGTCTTCCCATGATGATCACACTCCACCTGGAAGATGGGGGCACCCATGACGGCAAGCTTTGCGTACCTGCGTGGGATGAGCAAAGTTCCAAGGCCTACATGAGCGTCCTCTTCTGCACGAGCATCCTAGGACCAGGACTAGCCATTGGGGGCCTGTATGCCACTTTGGGCCGCCTCTACTGGGTGTCCCAGACCCACCCTCCATGTGCGACTGCAAGCAGCTGTCCCCCACGAGCTCCCCGCCCTAAGGTGCTGCTCCTGATCCTGGGCATAGTCCTTGCATTTTGGGCCTGTTTCCTGCCCTTCTGGATCTGGCAGCTCCTACCGCTCTACCGGCCGGATGTGTTGAGGTCCATCCCGACCAGCACTCAGGTTACGGTCAACAGGATCCTCACGGGGCTGACCTATGGGAACTCATGCGTGAACCCCTTCTTCTACACGCTGCTGACGGGCAAACACAGGCGTTACCGACAGACGCTTACCTCAGGAGCCCAGCTGTGCCGCAAGGGCAGCCCATCGCACTGATGTCCACCAACCGCAAGGGAGAACTACTCAGAACCAGCTTGCCAGGGAAGAAAAGGATTATATCTGCTAGAAACCTCCTTGACACTCACCACGACCTTGGCAACAGTAGCTCCCATGAGAGGAAATGGCAGGCGACATGTCGAGTAGCCAGTCGCCATCTATCCCAGGGTCAGATGAGGACACCTTTGTTATTCTTCCACTCTACCTTCCTCCCCAAATCCTCGAGCATTCAACCCCAAAAAAAGATTTGCGAGTCAGATATTTCATCATAAAATTCTTGTTCTCTTGGCCTTTGAATAGGTTACAGCAGTTTAAAGTTTGCTGATTAGCTTGTATTGGCCTGAGCATGGAACAGAGAGGGAGCGAGAACAAGTAAAACCCAAATGCTCCGTTCTTTCAGAATGAAGGTGCTTATTCTGTGTTCTAACTTGGTCCGAGATTGCACCGAATTTTCCTCTCACCTTTCCCTCATATGGCCTTGCCTTGTAATCTTTAAATAACACCCATGAAACGTACTTAAAATATTCTGAATGCCATGTGATTTATTTCCTCCTTAAATATAATTGTGTGGTGGTCATTGCTTGCCTTCTGATTTGATTGTTTTGTGCTCTTTTAATTAGCCTGTAAAAATCACATAGCACACATTGTGCATAATATTAACCGTACAATCAGACCATTACCATGAAGGGAAGGTGACAGGGGTGCAGTGTCTCAGAAATCAGTACTTGGCTTGAACCATTAATAAGTTTCTTATGCTTCTGCAAGCCAAAACATTAAATTAGATTTTATTGCTTCTGTTCAAACCTCTGATTTACGGTAAGGGAGCAAAAAAATGTGCAGAGTGCAGTAGGCGAATACCAGCAAAGTCTGGGCAATACACTGTGTTTGTCTGGTGTATTTTATTTAAGGTCCAGAACTCAGCAACCAGTTGCCTTTTTGCACCCAAGTAGCTGTACGAGGCCCCTGGATGCCAGAGAGGACACTGCAAACTGTTACTGTGTGAGCTTAATGTCACATCTGATCACCTTCCAGACTCTGTGAAATCTGTACAGATATGCCACAGCTCGTCAAAGATTCATGGAGACAAGGGCTACGTTTCTCCTGTTAGGTATTTAAAGGTTAAACTCCTTGAGACAATGGCATATTCACAAATATTGAAGCTAAAGATTTTAAATTAGAATTATATTTATATATGTGCATGTGTTTTACATTTTATTTGCCATGTAATATATTGCATGGTGACTACATTCTGTAACTGATGATCTGAATGTATGATCTGAAATAAATACAAATTAAAACAAAACAGGACCTATTGGACTTGGAGAAAACTGTGTTGCGGGCTCCCTGTTACTATGGGGTGAGACAGACAGGCTGACAGGGACATTTTTACAGGCAATTCCAGGTGCTAAAACAGAAGTAAGGAGCAGTTTAGAACTTACACAACAGCGTCCTTACAACAAGAGGAAAAGGCATGGATGTGTGTCCCACACGCTCCCTCTTGCTGAGCCTGTATGGCTGACCAGAGAGACCATGTCTTCACATGTGTCCTGCCGTGTTTGTATCCACATGTGGGATGGCCCACGCTGTTCCGTGCCCATCTGCATGTGCCTGAATGGTTCTACTGTACTGCACAGGGGAACCCGCTGTTCTGTGACGCAGATGAATAAATAATATTGTTTAATGGAGAGGTGCAAGGAGCAGGTGAGGAGCCTTCGTCAGCAATGTGAGCGCACAAAAGGAGGGATGGAGGGACGGCTCAACTGATATCAAGATAGGAAGATTAAGATTAAGATAGAAAGGAAATCTCAGGCACTGAAAAGAAATGTTAGAATTTCACAAGAATACAGACAGAATATCTCGGCCTTAGGCTAGCATCTGTGTTTATCAACCATACCCTTAGTATACAGACTTATTTACCGATTTGCGATTTGCATATAATGAAGATCACCTACATAAAAATATTTTGTATTATAAATATCAGAATCAATGATCATATTGTACTTTTAATTATGGCATATTTAATATTACAGGTCAAATAAGTACTTAATAAGCCAGTATTAAACTTGCATGACACCCACATGAATAATCATGGTATTGTAAGGTTGATTATCCCCACCGACTGGCCATAAGAAAGCCTGTTATTTTACTAAATAATACTAGGTACCAAAACCAATGAGGAAAGATGACTCATTTCTGGCGCTCTCCACCGGCCCGCTAGCGTACACGTGCACCCAGGACCTCGTAAGCAGTCGGGCTGCGGCGGTTTTAAGGCGTCCGATTCTGCATTTCCACCAGGCTTCTTTTTTTCCACTTTGCCGTGTGAAGTCACACAGATGTCTCCAGGGCATTCATGCTAGATAAATGTATTTATTCAACGTGAGTAAACAGAGGAAGATAACATTTTAAGAAGTGTTTTGCCAACATCAATTCTATCAGTTTATGTTCTCAGTTTCCGTGAATCTGCACCAGATTTTTTTCCTGTTTAAGGCCTGTTTAACTTCGTTGTACCTGTTTCATAAATCCTCCTCTAGTTCATTTCCAGGAATCATAAGAGTCTTCACAGTGTACCCTCCCTCCCTGTCTGTGCCTCCATACCTCCCCCCACCCTCTCGCCCTCCTCCTGTCTAGTGTTTGTGGCTAAAGCAGGTGCCCCTCCCCTGGGCAGCCTGCTCAGGAAAGTCCCCTGCTGGGCAGACGAGACTAGGCCTCTGGTTGGGCCAAGGACATGCTGGGAGAATATAAGGGATTCTCTTTCTTTCAGACACAAAAAAGATCCTTCCACTCCGCCTTGGTTTCACTCCATCTGTTTTCTCTCTCTCTACCTCTCTCCTTACTGGCCAGTGTCTCATCCTGCTTGAGTCTACAGTGGCCTATTAAGATTTAGTAGTTTAAAAACACAGCTGTCTCTGTTGTGCTGTTAAGTTTGTGAAATAGGTATCAAGAAAACAAAAAAAAAATTGTTAGTATAAAAACCAATGGGACTTTGATAATTTATATTTGAGCTAATTCTACTGCCCTATAGAAGATGTGACCAAAAAACTGAACACAGAATTCATACACATTGTGTTCCTTTGAAACTATTATTTCTACTAGCACAATTCATAAAGGGAGGTTGTTTTGCCCCCACAGGTCTGTTCAACTTCCATTTCTGATACTACATGACTGACAGCACAGCAAACGCTACCGAAGCTGGCTCAACAGAGCCTCTTTGTCAGCCCAAAACCAGCAGATCCGCAAAGCAGCTTTTCGCCGCCACGTACCCTGCCTTCACGCCTCGGTGCAAGCCGGCAGGATCAGACACAGCCCTGGTTTGTGTGTCTTGAAGGCTGGAGGTTACATAAACCTACAAACACAGGGCACTTCACACACAGGCCATTACTGGGAAGGTTTTAGAAATCCCTTGTCAGTACCTCCTTGCACGCTCACTGTCTGTATGCTGCTGTGTTCAGTGCCAACATTATATGATCTGAAATTACCCATAAATCCACAGGTAACCACTCAGCTCCTTCTCACACCTTCCTGACAGACTCATCATTCTTACTCATCACACAAAAAACATATATTTCCTTCCTGATCGATTTAGTAAAAAACATTTAACAAAACAAAAAAAACACCAAAGGCTTGGACTATTTCTGTATTACAAGGTCATATTATCCAAGGCATTTAAAATATAATAATAATTGATACCTTATTTACCTCTGTGGGGAAATTCTCTATTTGATTCTCCCATCTTGCTTTCTGTAGGTGATAGCAAGCTGGCTGCTAAGGTCAACCATCCATAGCAGTATCCAGGGAGCTGGGGGTTAAGGGCCTTGCTCAAGGACCCACAGATGTACTGAGGTTGGGCTTCAACCAATGACCTTCTGATCACAGGTAGCCCATTGAACCACATGCTTCCCCCCAAATGTTTGTTAAAATATATACTTCACCACTTATCCATGTCACTGTAAAGTGTCAGTGGAGAGCCACACTGCAGGTTAGAATGATTTACACTGTTGACAAATGAAGCCCAATGTGGATCCTGTGTCACATTACAAGGCGTGATAGTATGGGCCTGCTGGCACTGGAGCACCTGGTTTGCTTTGCCTTCACATGGTTGAAGAAGGGGCTGGACATGACTCAAAATACTGCACCAAGATTTAGGGCAAACAAAATACCTGCAAAGCTGATGTACCCAAATTACCAGGAAATGCTAAGAATACTAAAACTTTGGGATGTGTGTTTGTGGCTGGGTGAACCTGCATGTCTCTGGGATTAACAGAGACTGCTGATTCTTTGGTCTGTAATTATTAGTTACAGCCTATTTCTGGGGTTAAGCCCCATCTAAAGTTAAATCGATGCTTTGTTTTAAATTCCACTGCACTGAAAACTGTGCTTGTTATATCTATTATGTGAACCAACATACCCTTAATGTGACATATTTTCATGGGCGTTTTTGTCACAAAGGTAATTTCAATGTTAAAGTCAGTAAGGCAAGAAAATTTACAGCAGACTTTTATGAATGTGTTGACTGGTTCCAGGCATAGCTGGAGAATGATAAAAGAATTATGGCAATGTTATGGGGGATTCCTGTCACAATCTCTTTGCCTTTAAAATTTGCTACGTGGAGAGCTGGGTACTAAGCCACCATGAGGAACCCAGGCCAACAACCTCCTTCCATGTGCATTCAGGCTTAATGCTGAGGACCAGCTCAAGGTCAGTACTAAACCAAGATGTTTCCTTGTATGCCCTGAATTACTAAAGACAGCATGAATTGTGTTCCTCATACACACCCTCTATGCACAAGCATACACACTTTTCTAAATTTACATCAACAGGGATGCAAACTCATCAAGAGTGAAAAAGGTTATATAAGAATACAAATCGTCCCCCTTGAAGATGAAAACTGAAAATCATCTGATCAGATTTCAATTTGCGGATGGTGCTTTTCGTTCAAAAAAGGTCCCAAAGCAATGCCCTAATCGCAAATGGTTCATGGGACATCACTTTGAGGATTACTAGCAAATGGGCATTCATCTAGTTTTGAGGCTGAGGCAAGAAGTGCACCAGCTCCATTACATCACTACATCATTCCCCATTCCCAAGATTATGCATTGAGTTAAAACTTAACTAACCTTGCATTCGCTAAGTAGTGGGCAGTGGTCACAAAGATTAACAACCAAAATCACACTTAATTTAGTCTTCTTATCAGGCCAAAAAAATCACCGCAGGACCCTTCACTGACAAAAACAAACCCTCGTTGCATGCTGTGCTTGCGCACCTGCATGTGGGAGACGGTCCCTAACTTGGTTGATGCTGAATGGAACTTAATTTGAGTATTGCAAAGTGTGGCTATCAAACCTGGTTTTAATGATAAATAAAATTTGAAACGGTAATATTAGCCATCAGGAATTTTCCTGTGGTTTACAGTGAACCCAGTAGCTGTTTCATCCCTGACCTCAACCATCTTCATTCTTGCGGTGTGCTGCAGTTGTTAGTGCCAATTTGAATTCAGGAGCTTGTTTCTTTTCTCCAAAAGGTGAGGTTATCATTTCATTACCCATGACACTGTCCTTGCAGACCCAGCCCAACCCCCCCATTTTAAAAACTCATCGGATCTACATGAATCACACAAATAACCTATTCTGTGTTCAGAACCGCGAATTTTGCGGAAAAGTGACAATACGTATCCCTGATCAAGGTGAATAGTGTAATAGAGTATAGGAGAATGTATAATCAGCAAAATCTACTGAGGGAGCCACTCCTCCTCAGTTGGTCAAATCTGACCCAGCAACGGCCCTGCATGTACAGTGCTCACAGAAAGTCTTGGGATGCTTGCCGAATTCTGTAAAAAATTTGATAAATTTATTGGTTTCATAACAAAAGTCCATTGACAAGCAATGTTTAACATATCTGCAGATATCTTCTGCACAGACATCTTCTTTTTATTGTCATCATTTTTTTGATTGACATATTTGGTTGTATTGTTTCCATTTAGTTATTACTTGCAATTGTAATAGCTGGCTCCTAAAGGGATATTAAATACAACTGTTTGGTGTTTTGTGTTATTGTACAGGTGTTATTAATTAAAAAGTACCCAATGAGACTGCATGATAATTAACTTTTTACTTCATAATAGCTTTTAGAACAATAATTTGGGTTTCAATTAATTACTACTAATTTTACTGAAATTATTTTACTGAAAACTATTTTAATGTGATTATACACTCACCTAAAGGATTATTAGGAACACCGTACTAATACGGTGTTTGACCCCCTTTCACCTTCAGAACTGCCTTAATTCTACGTGGCATTGATTCAACAAGGTGCTAAAAGCATTCTTTAGAAATGTTGGCCCATATTGATAGGATAGCATCTTGTAGTTGATGGAGATTTGTGGGATGCACATCCAGGGCACGAAGCTCCCGTTCCACCACATCCCAAAGATGCTCTATTGGGTTGAGATCTGGTGACTGTGGGGGCCATTTTAGTACAGTGAACTCATTGTCATGTTCAAGAAACCAATTTGAAATGATTCGAGCTTTGTGACATGGTGCATTATCCTGCTGGAA